ACTCCTCGGCTGGTGCAGATGTTTTGACTGCAGACGGTAAGTTCAGGGGAAACATTGCAGAGCCACAATGACGGTGACTCAGCAAGATTAGAGAGTGACACAGCAGAACGTGGAGGCGGAGAGGACCGACCTGCCATTCTTTGCAGTCTGGGAGCTGAGCCATCCTGAACAGAGACAGGCTGTTGAAGAGCTGCCAGAACTACAAGACAAAAGACGAGAAAGGGTTTGCTCTCTCGACACTCAACTGGAAGCCCTTGAACAACATCTGGCCTGGAATGGCGTCAGTGGCATCATACTCACATGACCAAAGAACAGGAAGGGCAAGAGAAACGTCAGCCCCTTCCACATCCACGACTGGAATCCCTCTGAAAGCACAGAGGAGACAAGTTTGACTTGCTGTTTGTTTTCTTTTGTTACTCAAACCAACACAGCTGATGGACTGTGAAGGTTGACTCTATTTTTAACAGTGTGAATGTTCATGAAGCATTCACACTATTGTGATCCATTTTCTTACGTACATTGTTCAGCATGATTCTCGTCCCGCAGTTTTGACGCAAAACGTTCAGCTCTTTCAGGACAATCCTGCTAAGACTTTTGGTATTGGTGCAAGTTTAGCTTTTTGAAATATTTAGCTTTTTCTGCCACTTTTTATCATAGAAAATGAACTGAGCTCATTTTACCTCCTTCAGATCTTTAGATGTGTTTACAACCTTTTCCTGCTCCTTTCACATTTTGTTCTGCTTCAGCTTCTTTCAGCTGCCTTGTGCAAATTTAAACTTTTTCAGCTACTTTCAGCAACTTTCAACTGTTTTGTTGTTGTTGCTCATTTCAGTTTTTTATTGATAATTTCCACTGTTTTGTGTCCATTTCTTTTTCTTTCAGCTTAATTTGGCAAACGTGTTATTTCTGCTTTCTTCTAGTATTTTAAGCTTGTTCTACTCTTTCAGTTTCCTGTTCAGCATTTTTAGCTAATTTAAGCTGTCTTTAGATAAATTCAAGTTTTTCATGGTCATTTCTGCTACTTTCAGCCTAATTAGTTTATTCATGATAATTTCAGTTTGTTATGCTCCTTTCAGCTTATTTCTGCTAGTTTCATTCTTTTGTTGTTGTTGTTTTTTTTTTTGCAATTTCAGCTATTATTTAGCTGTTTAAATGCTAAATTTAGCTTTATCAG